TTGACCTTAAACGAGGAACAATGAATTTAACAGGAGCGAGTGGCATTGAGGGGAAGGGAACTTCAGAGGAACTTAAGAGATGTTTAAAACGAAATTGAGCAAAGTTTTAGGGGAAATGTGAAGGAACTTTGAAAACTTAAGATGAATTTGAAGGCAATACAAGAGCTTGAAAAGCATTTGATAGAAATTTGAAACAAGAAACTTGAGGGTAATCCAAAAACAACCTTGGAGGAACTGGAAAGGGCTTAGACGAACTGAAAGTGTGAATTATTCATAATTTCATGTGTAGTGTAGTGTAGTGTGCAGTTTTCCTTACATAAAGAGCAGTGAAAAATTTGTAAATTATGTAGAAAAATAAAAATCTTTTTCATTCTGGCAAAATAAACGATTTCGTTTGCGGATTGCGATAAAAGAACTCTCCCAAAGAAAAACAAATAATTGTGTATATAATGAAAACCAATATACGCACACAGGCACGTATGTTCCGGAAAGCTCATTCGATTTACGCCTCATTTACATTTTTGTTTCCTTACGCGATTTCGTTGTTTCCTTACGAAATAGCGACACAGGCAGAGATCAATTTTTTTAACCGTAAATCTTATAAAAAGATCAAAACCAAGTTTGTTTTATTTTATTATAAAGTCGAAACACGAGCGTAGATTATTATTTATCTCGCTGTAAGTAGATTTCTGTGCTTACATTTTAAATGTATGTGCACAAACTCGTTTTTTATTGCCCGCATGAGAATAAGTAATGGAGTGGAGCACATAATCGCATATATCATGTGAAATAGGAAATAAAATTGGTATAAAGATGTGCACGTTCGGGCCGTGGCGGTTTTTGAAGCAACGGCAACTGCTATCCTATTCAGGAAAGTACCTATATATGGTGACAATTAGATTATCAAGAGCTTTTACAGCAGGTGTAGAAGAAAAGAGATAAACGTTAAACGTGTTTTTTACCTAGGTTTTTGGTTTTGGTGGGCATTTCGAGTGTAAGACAGTCGGTATACTTTAATAGACCGATTTCAATAAAAGTTCTATGATCTAGGAGATTTTATTCAGTCGTCGTGTATTTTGTCATTCATGCAGTTCATAACATTGGCCAGGTTACCTGTTAAAGTTTTCCACCAACAGAAAAAGCCATGATTACGTGTAAAATTACATCAAGGTCAGTGGTCAGTATGTGTAAATCGCGAAAGAAGTAAAGTTTCGGACGCATTTTTAATTGGGTTTTGCGTTCTTGGTGCATCATTTAAAGTGAATCGAAGTGCTCACCGGATGGTAAGGGTAATTAAGCGTTAAGGTAATTAAAAATATAAATTTAATTTGTTTCAATCGAATGCATGTGGATGGTATCTGTCATCTGACCCTGAATGCCTATTTTTGTTTAAGCTTTATTGAGTGATTTATGTCGAATAAAGTTGTTTCATATGTAAATTTTCTATGTTGCGTTAAAGCAAGCCCAAATTACAAGCCAGGATGTAAAATGTCTCATGACAAATTTTCTATTGGTTCCCAGGATTATGTCAGAAGTTCAAGCTATGTACTTAAGAATTATCTACAAATGTCTGAATACTTAAAACTAATCAAAATCATGAATTGTAAAAAAAGTTACAAACCTCCCCCATATTTTTTAAGTATTTAAAGAGGGTGTGTTGGTTAATACAAGTTTCGAAGTACGACATCATCAGGTGACTAAAATAAATCGATAATAATAAAGTGTTGATGAAAATTGACGGGACCACAAATATCTGATTCTTGCTGAAGACAGTGCCGATGGAATTAAACAACAATTCAAAAAAATCCCATATCCCATTTATTTTTCTTTTTGTTTATTTTATTTATTAAACCGCAACCCATTTATTGATGGGGTACGTAAATTCAAACTAATTGGATTTAGGTCTTTTTTTGCACACCTACTTACCTACCTACAGTACTGAAAGAAAAATACAAGAAATCACAATAGAACTTTATTTTATATGGACATTTTAATAGGTTTACGTAAATGAGCAGAACAGTTTAACGGCAAGGGTAAATAAAGTGAAACAAATGATTATGCATTCTAATGAGATTTGCGTTCTTATTAAAACATGGGGCACGGGGCGCGAAATAAAATGAAGTTCAATACAGAAAACAATATTGTTTCCATGGAAACAACGGGAGAACCTCAGATTGCTATTTTTGACGTCTAAATTAAATTCAGAATTTTCAAAAGTTTGATAGTGTTTATGGTTTCGGTCATAAAATAAAATTTTGTATTATACACGACGAGAAATAGAAACTAAACATTTCGTGAAAGCTAATTCACTCAATGGTTAAAGACCTCCTTCAATAATAAATAACTGTTAGTGATGCGTACACGCCTTGACAAGTCATCATCAGCAAACAACAGCGAATAACACACGTATTAGAGTTTTATTGGTGTTTAATTCAGTTTTTGTTGCTAACAAGAGCACCAGTGCTTCCACTACTACATTTATTAAGTCCTGTAAAATTACACAGAGAAAAATCACGATCACATAAATTGACAAAGGGTTTAAATTTAAAAACTAATTCAAATTTTTGGGTAATTAGAAGGTTCTTCGTGAAACCGCCTTAAGTATTCCCGAATTGACATTTCATTTAGAGGAAAGTTAAATTTTAACGTACGCAGTGTCTATTTCGAACTTCACTCCTCCCCGTTCCCAAAAGTCAAAACTTTCCTTATCCATAATATTTCTAGACCGATTGTAATACAAGATAAGACGAGTGTCGGATCAAATATCTGTGGAACAGTTTAATTTTAGGAAAGAGATGGAGACAGAGAAGCAATTGTGGTTAAAAAAATTGGAGAGGCACAGAAATGGAAAAATTTTTCATTTTTATCATTTTAATGTTAGTGTCTTATTGTAAATTTAGTCGGTAATTGTTTAATTTTATTTGTTATATTTAGTTTGCGTGATAAATTTAAAACGGGTATCTTACAGAACATTTATTCTGAAATCTTTACGAGAGTTTAAAGTTTTATCTGGTCAGGTGTTGATAAAAAGTTTTTATCGAACAAGAATTCATTGTTTTTTTTTGACAAACACTGTCACGTACGGGATAAGCGATGCAGGTGCTTTATCAGTTTTGGTGGCGTAGATGGAACTTCGAGTGTCGTAAATAGGAAGAATGAAAAGAAAACGGGACTGTCTCGGTTTATTTTGAAAAAGAGCATAATTGACGATAATTTTGACACGGCTGTCCATCCGGCTATTGCAATTTTAAAAATAAAAAACGTAATCGTATTCATGTTAGTTAAATAATGCGGAAACAAGTTTAAAGGTTATGCCAAAAGTTTTGTCACATGGAATTTAAAGTTTGAAAAGTCTCTGTTGTCAAGAATGAAGAAGTAATTGGTGTAATACAAGAAAAATGTTACCATCCAAGCAGCCATAAAGTTAAGCTTTTCGAGTTGTGGAGTTTAAAAAGTGGGTTGCTTTTGTTCTGAGAAGAATCCCAATTTGAAATTCAGGTCGTTTTATTTTTCGGTATCAGGTTTTTCTAATTCCCTTTTAGTTTAGTTAGTCAAGTTGAGGTAAAGGAATCAGTTTAGTGCACCGTGAGCTCTTCTGTCAAAGTTGTTTGTCATAAAGATTTGTGTCCTAAACAAAAGTAAAGTTCAGAAGCTGTCAGTGTTTTTGTGTGCAATTTATTGCGCCTTGTTGATCGCAAACGGTGGAACGATCAAATTATTATGATTATTAAAAGAGAGAAAAAACAGTGGCTTGCGACGCGACGTTTACTTTTTAAACTTCTCCGTCTTTTAGGAATTTGGTTTAACGGTCTTTTCATGTGTTTCGGAATAAAATTTGGTAATTCAATTAATTCTGCGTTTATTCGAACCCATTGTACGATCCGGATAGAGTTATCATTTCAGATTTTTCTTCTCGGGTTAATGAATTGTGTCAGGTGTTAATGAAAATTTATTTAGTTAATGCTTTCGAATCAGAAACTGATCGAGGCTACTGAGGCTCCCAAGTTATTTATTTATTATTATTTAAGTCAATATTGGTATTTTTCTTTGTGGCAGTTTCCGGAGGTGTACCAAGAGAAAATCTAAAAATTCTAAGTTCAATTTTGATTTTTTTGAGCTAGCTGGGCCCTGAAGGAGATGTGAAGCGGCAAAGGATAAAATTGGAATGGCCAAACCAGCATGCAAGCAATCTGGAAATAGAATTGTGGAAAATACTAGACGAGTGGTTTGTCTGGAGCGTAATGCTATGTGGTTTTCAAGCATTGAAAATAATGCAGAAGAACAACAAATAACAGAGCTTTGGAAATTGGATATGGAGAAGGATTATGAAGATGAGTTGGAAAGGTTGAGGAATGAGGAAGTACGAGAAAGGGTTGAAGAAAGGAGATCAAACATAGACACAATTAACAAAAAAGGAGGTACGGTTGGGTCACATACTGAAAAAAAAAGAAGATTCTACACTCGAGTAAAAAAAGTCCGGTATTCTCCTAAGTGAATTTTATTCTAAGAAATTAGCTTCCAATAAATTTTATTTTGGGGCTAAATATTCAGGACTTTCCGACAACAAATGTTCCAGGAGTGACTTGTGAAGAGATTCTCAAAACGTGGACTAATGGAAATCTCGCCTGCAGGATGTATACATATCCCGATTCAGAGCTGACAATATGGAGCTAATTATGTGAGATTTCTAGGTATTTCTCAAAATATGTGCCCCGAATGTGTCGAGCATTGTGAGGAATTAAAATGAAACCGAACGTAAATATGTGGAAAAGTTAGCAATGGTGTAATTACCCCTTGTTAAATATGGTGTAATATTTACCAATGAGCAATCGGCAATACAAGTATAAACAAATACAGCACGAAGCCGGAAGCCATCCGAAATACGGCGGTCAGA